AAGCAGGCCCATTGGTTTAATCTGGATTCCTCTTTTCAACTCCTTTAAGCGTGACCATTGATCGACCAGTGCCCTTGGAGATTACGTGGGTAAATACTGAAGGTGGATTTGATTTAGTGTTTAGAACCAGCTCAGTATTTGGAAACTGGTACCAATGGATTCATAACTAATGGCTCTGAGGGAGGACCTTGGGGACACAGAAGAGGATGCTCTGTACATTACCATGGTCAGAGAGTTCACGGGACAAATGCTAGACAACACTCCACCCCAACAAATCTGTGATATCTCCTGAATGAAATGATTATGGGCAGACACGGGAGCTCTGTCATAATCACAGACTTAAAGGTGGCCCAAAGGATAGAGGCCTGATCTCCCTGACAGAGAAGGAGCTGCATGTTGAGCTCCCCCACATGGCCAATGGTTCCATCAGTCACACTTACAGAATGGTACGCCGATAAAAACTTTAAACACTGACGTCTGGATGAACCTCCCTGGTTGGCAATGCTCTGAGTGTGGTCACATGTCTCAGCCAAGAGGAAAAAAGGCCATCCAGGACTCCACAGGGAGCTTTGCGTTTACCTCTTTCAGACCTCATGGAAGCATCTCTCACTTTGGCAGGTTCTGATTTGTATCTTTTTGCTGCCGTAAAACTAATCATAATTTAAAAAAAAAAAAAAAAATGGCCGAAAGAAATACATGAGAGGATTGTTACTTTGCAAAGCTAAAGGGGTAAATGGGCCCTGAGGGCGACAGTGCATGCAGGAAATGTCTCTCTCCTGCTCCGAGGCCTTCCTTTCATGCTTCCATTCCCACCACCACCTCACAGGAGGCTGCATCACCAGAAACTTGGGGCCACTTTTTGTTAAGGAGGCCAAGTGAGAAGGAAGGAAACAGTACTGCAGCATTCTGAAAGATTACCTGGCCTTTTTCTGGCTAAGGAGCCAAATGGCAGCCATGTAAAAACCTGGCTTTTCGATTATACAACTGATTAAATGCTGAATCCTTAAGAAGTGAATTTTCTTTACTTTTTAAAAAATACCTTTCTATTATTTCTAAGCAAAATAAAAGTTTGCTTGAAGGTTTTTCAATTGACAAGTCACACAATTTAATGTAAAATACAAAACACAGTCTGTCTATCATTAATAAATTCCATGTCTCTATGCTTCCACCCCCAAACTCCCCCAAAGAAATACCACCTGGACTTTGGAGTCCTCGTTTATATTTTAAAAGACTTTAGCTGAACAGGGTGATCATTTTATTATATGGGCCCTATAAACACAGAACAATGAAATCCCTTCATAAATTTAACACAAGAGTGATTGGATTAGAAAAGAGACACTTGTTACCATCTTAACATCGATAGAAATACTGCCTACCTCCTACCGAGGCAAGCTAATTAACTAACATTCAGGGTCTTAAGGACATTTTGAGGGAGGGTGCACAAAATTGAGAGGGAAACTTCAAATTAGGACAACTTTTATTTGATTCAAAACAGTGTGTCCTCTCGTCTCTTGAATTTACACTGTGGTGATGACCAGAGAGTCCAAGCAGAAGCCAGACCCGAGGGCTGAGGGCAGCCCAGGAGAGGTGATGGGATTCCTTCCCAGACATGTTAAAAATACCCAGGTGGGCACGGATGCAGGGAATAAACTCTGCTCCCACCAACCAATGCCACGAACTTGCAGAACTTTAGGAAGAATTTGAATAAAATCTCAGAAAGAACTTTTTTGGCCCACTTTTGATTCAAGTCTATAATTCGGTGGGTCACATAAGCCTGTGGTCACATCCAGTTTGCTTTATCAAACGATCATTTTGGAACATGGCAGGTGACCTAAAGGATTAGGTAAAAAATGTAAATGGTGTGTGTGGAGGAGCCAGACCTGCCACCACAGGTCCTTCCAATAAGGCACCCTCCGTGTACACCCTCCCGACCACTGGACATACACCATCGTAACGAGCTGTTTACCTGCCTGTCTCCCCAAGCCAGGGACTGTGTCCTATTCGCCACTGTGACCCCTCTGCCAGGAGACAACCAGTCACATTTACAAAATGAATAAGCAAATGAATGAAGAGCAAAGTGCTTCCTTTCGAGAGTAATTAATTCTACCTCACCTAAATTAAGTCTGTTTCTTTAAGTGTGAGGAAATGAATGGGTATATTACTGAGCATACAGATATAAGTGATTATCTCATTTAATAATGAGCTGGGACCAGTAATAAAAATTGCCTGCTGTCTGCTCTGCCAAGCAGCTCTATCTGTTAACTAACATTAAGGATGTAATTTAATTAAATCTTGAACAAGCTCAGAAAATCTACTGAGAGCACTTTGTTTAATTACAGTCAGGGGCCAAGCACCAATCCTATTGATCTGGTCAGTTCAAATTCTATACAATCAATGTGGGTAGTGAAGAAGAAAAAAGTGGCCTCAACTGCTTTCCAGGCAACTTTGATGAACTGTGGATTGGGAAGTGCCATGAAGGCAGCATGGACCATGTGGAATCACAAGGCGGGCACTCCACAGAGCTGCTCATGATGGAGAACAGAAGACAACCAACCACAAGAAACAGACTCCTCCTCGGGGAAATGATATATAATGAGTGGTGGTGGGTGGAAGTCGTCCAGCATTAAAGGCTAGTAAACTGGTAAAGGCATCTAGTAAATTCTGTGAGACCCACAACTGTCTTGAAATAAAGGGAGATAGATCCAATCCATGCGTATGTATACAAATTCCTGAGGACTTTTCCAGTTGAGGAAAAGGTACAAGTCCCTTGACACATTTTTATTTGGAGGTAATTGAAATATAAATTAAATACATTTAATATAAAACCATATTAAAAGACAGAAACACACACACACACACACAAAAACAAACAAACAAACAAAAAAACAACCCACATAGTCACTGCAAAACTTAAATTACCGTTTCAATATGATCAGAAGCAAGGTTAGTGCATTATGAGTATTAACTAATTTCCTTGCATTGGGTATTAGCATTATCCCTACTTCACGGCAGAGTAAACCACAGCACAGAGAATTAGGTAACTTGCCACAGACTCATGGTGACTTGGGTGTGACCCGAGGTGGTCAGGCTCCAGACCTGGCACAGAGCATCCAAAGGATGCGGTTCTTAATACTAACCTCCAGAGTTAGAGACAATACTTGAAGATGGGGACCAGCTTTTTATCTTCTGCTGGTCACAATCCAGGGCTCTCCTGTGCTTTAGTAACTCAAGTTAGAGGAGGACATTTATTCTAAACCACAACGTGTAATTACACCCGGGACCCCCATTTCCTTCACAAAACACGCACCATCAGAATGCACATGCTAAGAGCAAGCACACCTAATTAGGGCATTAGTCACGATCATCAGGGAGCTCAGCCCAGGAAATTACAGGTGGTGGGGGCCTTCGCACGCAGGAAATGTCATCAGCTGGCCCAGATAAAGCCTTGCTGACGGGGATGATTTACACCTGCTGATGCAAGGATGAAGAATGGCATCTGATACAGCTGGGTACTGGAAACAAGCTTATTATGCACATGAGTTCAGACAAAATGATGTTCAGATCTGAGCGGCAGGGAGGCTGGCCTTTTAATTATAACATTAGCCACAAGTGAGGAAAAGAGCTGATAACGCTGAAAAATAGCGATTCCTTCCATACACAAACGTACTTGTGGATTAGAAACAGAATGAGCTACACATGCTGACCTTTTGGAAGAACAAGGTATTTCCAAGATGTTCTTTAGAAGGAAGGGGTGGGGGGGGGGGGGGAAGAGAGAACAATGATTACAGATCTTTTTCTCCCTCTCTAATTCAATTCCACCTGTGTGCAAAGTTTCCAGTTAGAGCAGAACTAGAAAGCAAACTTCTACTATCGCCAAGAATGAGAGAGTAAGCGGTCTGGTAATTCAAAGTGGAGTTCAGAGGGAATTGCTTCTGATTGAAGAATTCCTTGCTTCACCTCCAGTCGATTCACAGATCAAATTCACAGCCAAACAAAGAAGTATTTGTGGGTTCCTGAGGAAAAAACCCCTCCATCTTTGGAAAATTGAGTGCTTTTAACAATTCTGCCAAACATTTCTATCCTAAAACATCAGCGTCTTTAGTAATGGATATATTTCCTACACAGAGTGATTAGCAAACTGCTTCAGGTCATAGAGCCATGGGTACATGGGGGTGAATACCAGGAGTCACACACACACATACTTAACACATATACACATACACAAAACACACATATAGACACAGCTATACATACATATGATTATTTTAACCTTCATAAGTCTGCACTAAAAGAGTTGACATTTCTCATTAGATTCACTGATAAGTGAAAGCAACTGCTATAAATTTAAAGAATGTTAGAAAAGACTGCAAAGGGGGAAAATTCTATATATTTTTGCAAATTATAAAATAGTATTAATTTATTTTAAAAGAAGAACATTTTAATGGAGCTGGGGAAGATGTGCACACCCAGGAGAATGGGTTGAGAATCACTGATATAATTTTATTCTATAAAAAAAAGTACATTGATTTTTCACAGAGAGGAAGGGAGAGGGAGAGAGAGTTAGAAACATTGATGAGAGAGAAACATCAACCAGCTGCCTCATGCACACCCCCTACTGGGGATGTTTCCGTAACCAAGGTACATGCCCTTGGCCGGAATCGAACCCGGGACCCTTCAGTCTGCAGGCTGACGCTTTATCCACTGAGCCAAACCAGCTAGGGCCACTGATATAATTTTACCATCCACTAAGATTTGCAATCTTGGAGAATAGTGTTCTTTAAAAATCTCTTCGCCACACCTCAGCGGTTTTAAATTATTTTCATTTTAAGAATCTCTCTTTTTTTTTTTTTTTAAAAAGAAAAACTGACTTCATAACCAGAAAGGGATGGTGATTCCAAAAGCTATAAACGCCCCAGAATTCCTGGGGCTGCCCCGGGCCCTGCCGCTGGCCCCTCTGGCCCGCACCCCGGGAAGAGGCCCAGGCCGGGCCGCGTGCTCACCCTCCTCCGGAGCCGGTCCCGCTCCTCCCGGACGGCGTTCATGGTGGCCTTGGTCCGGTTGAGCTCCTCCTCTTTGCTGCACAGCATGGCGGTCAGGCTCTCGTTCTCTTCCCGCAGCCCGGCCAGCTCCTTCTCCCAGCGGGACCGCTCCTCAGCCAGGTTGGGATACAGGTCCCGGCCGAGGACCCCCTCGATCTCCTCGACGGTCTAGAACACAGAGCCACAAAAACAAGCCAGGTGAGCGACGCGGAGAACGCGGAGGGGAGGAACACAGGCTGGGCGGAGCGAGTGTCCACAGCCTCCTCCTCACTGTAAAGTGTCATCCTGACCAGTGACACCCCAAACCCTCCTCTCCCTACTTTCAAACCAGACTCTGTTGCTTCCTTGGCTCCTAGTCTGTGTTACCCAGCAGTCCCGGGAGTAAGAAAAACACAGCCCAGATCCAGAGGCCGAGAAGCATCGATCAGACTGCCAGACCTCAGGGGGAAGCTAGGCGAAAGGGGAGAGATCAACCAAAGGACTTGTATGTATGCACATAAGCCTAACCACTGGACATGAACACCAGGGGGGTGAGGACGTGAATGGGGGGGTGGGGGTGGGGTCAATGGAGGGATCAGGACATATATGTAATAACTTAATCAATAAAGAAATAAAAAAAGAAAAAGAAAAAGAAAAACACAGTTCCTCCCTGGCGCTAACTGTCCACAATGTTTATCTCCTTCGTCCGCATTCCAGAGCTGGTGACTACGCACCAGCACAAGGCAAGCCAGTGAGTGAGCCCGACAATGCAGAAGTGAAGTTGCCAACTGCACACAAAACCTAGCTCGCCGTTTCCTGAATCACAGGCCTCCCCTGTTCCAACTGGGCCGCGGGAGGCCACATCGCCGTTCCCAGCGTCAGTGTCACCGCAGAACTGAGAAGGTGTGAATGAGGTTCAGTCCCAAGATGCCCAAGCCGAAAATAAACCTGTGACACAGAACCGAGGATTGCTCGTGGTGGAGGTTTCTAAGACAGCAGGGATTTAACTAATGAATAAGACAGCTGTGAGCTACGAAAAGCAGGATCTTAATAGCACTTGGAGAGTTTTTAAATAATCCACTTAAAACACAGTCTTAATGGGGAAGGAACGTGCAGAAAACTGGAGGTGGGGGGGAAAGGAAGAGCTCATTGTGGTGTTTTCAGAAACCACTCATTCACATTTCTTGTTGTTTGGAAAAAGAAGCAGAAGCCAAGTGGCATGAGAGAGGAGGGAGAACTCCCAGGTTGGAGTAGAAGGCAGTGAAGAGAGGTGATGAGAAACAGGTCTCGGAGACAAAACAAAACAACAACAAAAGGGGAGGTCACTGGCGGCTGCTCACACTGGTCTCCCAATGGCGCTGCCACTTTCCCTGCGGTGTGCACTGTCCTTCCTCTCAGCTCGGAGGCCTGGCCTGTCCCTGGCTGGCTGGCAGAAGTCCTTGGCTTCTCCTTCCCTCTCAAAGCTGAGGCTGGGGCCAGGACCCAAGTTGACATTAAGATTAAATATGGGGCCTGGGAGACGCCAGACAAAGAAACAACAGTGGTTGCTTCTCCAAACCACATCGCTGATATATTAATAATTGAGACGAATAAAGATGGAGAACCAGCTGTGTGATAAATATGAATCACGGTTCACCTTGAGATACCACCGCTCTTTTGTAAGATCCAGGGTTGTTGCTGATAGACACTTGGGCCTGGAGTGCTAAAATTTTTTTTTTTCTTTTTCCTTCAAGTAACACATCACGTTGTCCCTTCCCACAGGCCCCTCTCTGACTTTTCAGAATCAGTCACTATGCCTAGGTCACCAAGCCAAGGTGAAGTAACAGAAAGACCCCAGAGGCCCAGTACCAACAAGACTTGACGTCCCCATTGTCCATGATGAGTCTGTGCAGATGCAGCAGATTCCTCTCCTCTCACTCTCCTTTGGAGGGAAGATGAATGGACGGGAAAGGCGTGGCTGGGGCCGAGCACCATGTGCTCAGGATGCGTGACTCACGGAGGCCTGGGACTTCCCCCCGGTTAGCCCCGTGAACTGATAACTCCCGAAATAATATTCTAGAGGCCACGGAGCGTTCATAAAACCTCCAAGTTAATCTCTGGGCTACATGTCAAACCATACTAACAGGAGATGGTTCAATACGGGCAAGTCTGAGCGTTTCCAAGAAAACTGCCATTTTTGCTGCAAAGCCAGCGATCCTGACTGCGGACATAATGACTTTTTCCGAATGTACAATAGTTCAGCCCGACAAACACGTACAGGGCTCCGTCCGGCTTCTCGCTGGTGGCCCAATCCTTGAGCACGGCTTCCTCAGAAACACTCACTCCTAACAGGTGTCTGGGAAAACCACACTTCCAAAGAGAGGCATCTGATCATTTCCCCCCTGTGACCGCCGCCGAGAGCCACGCGGAGGGCGGGCGGGTTTACCTTAATGGCCAGGTCGCAGTGCTCGCTGGCCGTGGTGAGCTGCTCGATGTGCCGGTCCACCTCGGCCACGGACAGGCTGCAGCTGCTCTTCTTCCTGCAGCAGACGACGTTCTCCAGCCCCGTCAGCACCCGCTGCAGCTCCGAGTTCAGGTCGCTGCAGGTATCTGCGAGGGAACGGGGGCAGAATGAGTGGGGCAGGCGGGGGCAGGCAGCGGATGCTCTTCATTTCGTTCACCTTGGAAAACCTGTTCAAGTAAAATGAAATGGCAGCAGAGCTTGAAATGTCAAAGTTTGACTCTGGGCAGCCGAATCCCAGCCTGCTGGCGCCCTGAGGCTTGGAGACAGCGTAGAACCTTTCCTAAGGGGTTGCATTCACAGTCCTTTTCTACTTAGCCACGCCAAGTGGATCCTCCGGTCTTTCACCGAGGGCAGCCCCAACCTGAGGCTCTCTAATAAGAACGAAGAAGTGTCAGAGAGGCTGGTGGGGCCCCCTAAGCCATCTGGCCTACCTTCTTGCTCAGCCATTCAGACAAACACCGGCTCCAGAAAGAGGGGCAGCAAACACGGATATCATAACATTACTGAACAAACAAAACGAAACCCCCCCAGAGTGAGCAGACACACTAGGTATTTTAAAACATGGGAACTGGGTCAGACCCTGTCCTTGCCCTCAACGAGCTTACAGTCGGGACACGTGGCTGCCCCGACCACGGTTCCCTGCTCGGAGCCCCACAGGAGGACAAAGTGGATAAGCTGCAGGAGCGAGTATTCGGGGTCCCCTGACTGAGTGTGGTCACACAGCACCAGTCACTCACCACCAGTCACCCCCAGCACCAGCGCTGCTCAACCCGGGCTGGGATGCTCGTTCAGAGCCTGTGGCGTATTCTTCTAAACACAGACTCAGAATCAATGCTCAGTTCCTTCCGTGGCCTGCAACCCCCTGCGCAGTCTGGGCCCCTACCAGAGACTGGACTGTCGGCACTAAAGGCTGAGGCAGTTGGAGTCTCTACAAAAAGGTGAGAGGGTGTATGTTTCGGAATCAGAAGAGCAACAGAGGCTGAGACAAGGGACTCCGTGGGCTCGAGGGCGAACAAAAAGTGTCTCATGTATCAATCAAAATCACAATGAGTTATCACCTCCCTCATCAGGGTGGACCCTATATTCAAACAGAAAACAGCAAGTGTTGGCAGGGCTGTGGAGAAGTCAGAACCCTGTGCCCTGCCGGTGGGAATATAAAACGGTGCCACCGCTGTGAAAGGCAGTGTGGCAGTTACTCAAAGATTAAAAACAGAACTCCCATAGTATGCAGCAACCCCATTTCTGAGTACGTACCCAAAAGAATGGGAAGGAGAAATGAAAAAGACACGTGTACACCCTTGTTTATAGCAGCAGTGTTCACGACCGCCAAAAGGTGGAAAGAACCCAAATGCTCATGGATGGCCGGACAAACAAAATGTGGCCCAGGCCTGCCACGAGGTGTTCCTCAGCCTCCCAAAGGAGGGTCACCCAGACAGGCTGCAGCCCAAGTGAGGCAAGCCCGTCACAAAAGGACCAAAACTGTAGGACCCCACTTCCCTGTGGTGCTCAGGGCAGGCAACTTCAGAGGCAGAAAGTAGGATACAGGTTACAGGGGCTGTGGGAGGGAGGCAATGTGGCTTAATGGGTACAGAATGTGGGAGGACGAGAACGTTCTAGAAACGGATAATAGCGATGGGTGCACAAGTCTGTGAACATACTTATCACCGCTGAGCTGCACACCTGCCGTGGGACGCTGAGCAGACCCCCTGGCTGTGCTGTGCTTTACACCGGAAAGGTAACGGCTGGGCTCCACGCCCGCGAGACAAAGAGGAGGCGCTCGGTGTCAAATATGCTTTCTCCCAACGGAGGTTCTTAAGTCTTCCCACGGAAGAGCGTGGGGTTGTGCAGAGCGGACAAGCGGGGAAACACAGCGATGAGGGCCGATGAGGGCCAGGGAAAGGCTGAGGAAGCCAACAAAGTGAACAGCTGTTGGGCTGACCACTCTGCTTAACAATCACACGAGCATCCTGGCAGCCAGAGGAACAGTGAGTGATCGATCCCCTGTCGGGGAGGAGGAAGCATCCCAGGGTCACAAGGGAGACCATGTTTTCAGCAATAGATGCTACAAGAACTCAGGAAGGCGGACTTCATGTGTGGCACGAAGCGATGTGATCGCCAGCCTCCTCGCCGGTTTCACCACACATATGCAGATTTCAAAGGCTTTCTTCGTCTACAAGCCTTCAATTAAGATTAAGCTGCCGACCATTAAAGCACAATGCAAAGGGAGTCCTGGGAAGGACTAAGCTGACAGTCTTGGCACGCCGCCTTCCAGTTGTCTAATTGGCTGCGAAGATGAAAGAGCGCGCACAGGAGGATAAATGGGACGGACGTCTCCCTTCGACCAAGCCATGCAGATGAGCCACCTGCAGCAAAGATGTTTCGAGTGGAGGGCAGGGTTTGATAGCTGGCAGCCTTTTTTTTTTTTAAACAATTTTTAAATTAATTGCCAACATTTAAAAGCCATTAGAAGTTAGTATGACTCTTCTTGTAAAACGAGAAGGACTGGCCACACTGGGCCCCGCTTGGCACACAACAATCTGCAGCATGGCCAGCCGCCGGCCTGCTGGGCCTGGCATGGCCACAGCGCCCACGGCTCTGCCACCGGGCCTGCCCGCTGCCCACCTCCCGGGTCTGCCCCTGCTGTCCTTTCTAAAGGTAACGTTCCCAGCTAGACTTCTGCAGCCGCTGCAGGAAAGAGAGCTCAGGTTACATTCTTCTGGGGAACCCAGAGCCTTAGGCTTTCCTGTTGCCGTTGGAGGGAAGATGCAAGGACTTGGGAAATGTACTTGGCTATGAAAACGAAGCCTACCCGGCTTTCTTGCTCACTTACACACACACTGGTGGGCTGGTTTCCTTCTTTTCCTCTGAGCATCAACAAAGCCTACCCTGGAGTTGCACACAGTAAACTATACCAGAGTTGGTTCATTTTTTTTTTCTTTAAAGACTTTTATTATAATTTATTTTTATTGATTTCAGAGAGGAAGGGAGAGGGAGAGAAAGAGATAGGAACATCAATGTTAAGATAGAATCATTGATTGGCTGCCTCCTGCACGCCCTATACTGGGGATCAAGCCCACAACCCGGGCATGAGTCCTTGACTGAAATCAAACCTGGGAGCCATCAGTCTGCAGGCCAACGCTCTATCCACTGAGCCAAACCAGCTAGGGCAGTTGGTTCATTTTGAATAATTTTCAAAGGCTGTCTGGTTTGTTTGTTTTTTGAACCTCCTGTGAAATCCCTAATCCAAATAAAAACACAGCTAAACGGGCTAGGTGTTAGAAACCTTCCCCTGCTCCACCTAATTCTGCGCAGACTTTACAAGAACAAATCTGCTCCAAAATGCGGCAGCAGCTCCAAAACATAGGGACTCCTAGGCTCGGCATTCACTTCACAGCTCATGGCCACGTACCTGCCTTGTCAGGAAGTCCCTCGTTCTTCAGAGTGGCTCTTTTAAAGATTTGCTTTGAAGCCTTCTCTTCCAAGAAGCCTTCCCTGATTACCTATAGTCTCATACTCACTACTTCCACTAGCAGTATTTCCCAAAATGTGGTACAGGCACCCCCAGGGGTACGGGAAGAGTTTGGTGGGGGTACGCGTTGCACCGGAGTTTGGTGGGGATATGCACTGCACCGTGCTTAGCTGCGTCTAATTCTACGTTCTCATGAGGACGAGGGGTATGAAAATTATAGAAGGGGTACACATATGTCAAACGTTTGGGAAACACTGCACTAGGGCATTGCATTCCCTGTAATTACTTATTAACTGACATGATGACCCGACCAAGCCCAGCTGTGGGGAGCAGTGACCCTTCATGAGTCCACGTGTTCTGAGACACACAGCGCTGGGCATGGAGTGGCACTCAGTAGAGGCCACATGAGCTGAACGTGTGAGATAAATAAAAGGCTTTCTGTAAGTCGACTTTTAAAAGTATCACGTTTTTGTTAGCTTGCTCATGACCAAGTATCATGGAATCTAAAACATAGCATGTGGCACACCACACCCGGCTAAAACGCTTTCAATGAAGGTGGATGCTCAAGGCAGAGGCCCTTCCCGGGAAGTTAGAGGGACGAGGCACAGTGCACTTAGCCAGTCTGGGAAAGGGACGTGGCTGAAGGCCTGCTGTGAACGGTCCTCATGCCTGACCTGTGTGGAGAGCAGCAGGTCACGTCGTGACCGTGACCCCCACCGCCTTCTGAGGGCCGACACGCGCCCCCCACCTCTGTTCTGACCGGGCACACAGCATGCCTGACAGAGCAAGCCAAGAGGAGGAGAGAGCTGTGGAGTCTTTCAGCTTCAACGCAGACGTTCTGCTAGGAGGCAGGTCTGCTATCTTGGGGATGTAACAGCTCCGAGCCTGTGGTGGCTCTAAGTCTATTACCAGGAAGACGGGTGCTTTCCTTTCCTCCGCGTGCAGCCTGGCCCTCCCTGACTCCAGCGAGAAAAAAGCAAAACAACACAGGAAATGGGAGAATAGCCGACGTCCAGGTCTGAACACAAGACGATGGAAATGTCTGAGAGGAAAGGAGGAAGGGAGTTTCCTGGAGGTGACCCTGCGTGATGTGCAAGCGTCTGTGTCTACCGAAGACAAGAGGGTCAGCACGATGTCAGCACAGTTTAAAAACACCTCAACATCACCAACAGTGAGCAAACTGACATATGGCCCTCCTGCGCCTTACAGTGTGTGTGTTTTTTAGGTGATGGATGTTAACTAAATTCAATGTGGTAATCATTTTATAATCATGCTGTACACCTTAAATTTAAGTGTTGTATGTCAATTATATCTCAATAACACTGGAAGAAAAAAGAGAAGAAGGCATAGTGGGTAGGGATTCTAAACAGGAATGGTACAGGGGTCAGGGAAGGGGGATAGTACTGAGTGAGAGTCCAGTCAGGCCCTCAGCTCCGGGAGAGGTGAGGAATGGAGCTGAATATGGGGAGAGAGAGAAAAAGGGGGAAGAAATTTCTCTAAGAGCTTTTTTTAAAAGGCTTTTACTTATTACAGAAAATGAATGTTCATTCTAAATAAAATTCTAAACAGACAAGTTCCAAAGAAGCAACTAAAAATGATCCATAATCCTCCAACCTC